TAGAAATAGTTTACATCAACAGAGATGAACCCAGTATCAATTACATAAAAGACGCATGTAAACTACAATAATAGTTCGGCTAATGTAATTGATGGGCGGTGAAGTTTCTGGATTGTAGTACTTTTGTGGTTTTGTTTGTATTTACATGACTTGTTGTAATGGAAAAATGGAAGTTGTCATAAATCACTGTTCTTCAACGTAGAATACAGAAATCAAATAAGTTAATTAAATTATTTTTTTTTATTTTTTTATGGGTGTATTTCATCTACTAGGTTATATGAAGCTTCGGGGTACCTGCGTTTTTCAAAAAACGCCCATATGTAAGTATCTCTGGTTCGGATGGAGGGCCGTTGGTTACGAATCCGGGACGTTTGCCTTCGATTAGCGCGTGTCAACGCCCCTTTATTCAGTTATTTTTGTAGCTCTGATGATGGTTTAATAGATCGAAACTACATGGCAAACTAAACGCTCTCTATGCCCCGACTGTCCAGGGACTCATGCCAGGGTCAGGTCGTTAGTGTCACTGACTTCCGTCAGGGCCTCCATGCAGACCCTAAGCTGCCTGGCTATCGGAGAAAAAGACTATCTTCCGGGAATGTATTCCTAGCCTTTCTATTTCTCTGGCGCATAGTTCTATCACTAAGATTTCAGACTGGAAAACTGTACCATATTTACCTAGGATACCGTCAGTTCGGTCTTGGGATTCATCCCGAAGACCCCCAGCTCCCAACTGCTTGTCGGGTTTGGAGCCGTCAGTATACCAGTAGGAGTTTGCCTTTAGCGGTGTTCCTTTGCCGATTCTTCCCGTTCTGGTATCGGTGCTTTGTACTTTTTAGTAAAGTTGTACTGTGGAGTAGTGGCATCAATTTGCATGCCTAGAATAGTATCTGCCTGTATCTCCTCCCGCAGTTTCCATTGTTTATTTACATGCCCTATCCTAGGTTTCCCTGATGATAGTTTAATAAATCGAAACTAGTTGGCAAAAAAGTTCATTTTAAATTAATTAAGGTTTTAAGTTGAGATAAAAAAGTCAGTGTCACTAGCGGGATTCGAACCCATGACCTTCGGCTTGATACGCCGCTTCTCTACCACTTGAGCTATCGTGACTTCGATCCACTTGGACACTAACCTCCCATCTCAACCCCTCGAAGTTACGATAGTTCAAGTGGTAGAGTAGCAGCGTATCAAGCCGAAGGTCGTGGGTTCGAATCCCGCTCGTGACACTGACTTTTTTATCTCAACTTAAAATTTTAATTAATTGAATGGGATAATTAGTCATGCGGACCACGAAAAATAGTGAATTTCATTTTAAAGTTCCTTTATAACAAATGGTGTAAAGTCAAACAAAAGCGAAAAGAACTGTATGACTTCATTTCACATCTTCAAATACTTCAAAGATGAATTCAGGATTATATATTCATGAAAATTGTATTTTGTTGTTTCAAATTATATGTATTTTTATTGATATATTAATTACAACATAATTATTTCAATGATTGCTTGTTGGCAGAATGGTACACAGCGGCACCCCTAGGACTTAGGCTATGCAACAAACTCAACAAAAAAATAACTCTGGAAAGGATAAAATTGAACTGATTTTCTGAATTTTTAAAGTGTGGTGTTTAGTGACCGATAGTCAATGATTATTAGGAGATCGTGAGATGCGGTCTGGTGTCACGGAGGTTTTAGAAAAACATTTTCTTTATCGTACCAACGCTTCAATCTTTATTGAGATCATCTTCAGAGCTCAAAGTGTTTTTCTGAGTAATTGTGTCATTCTTGTGTGTCGTGTTGAGAGAGTGTATTTTTAATATAAATGGTGTAAAACGATTATTAACACTTTATAAGGGGGCCGCAGTAGCCGAGTGGTTAAGGCGTCAGACTCTCGGCTAGTAGTACCCGCGGTCGTGGGATCGATCCCCACCGTCGGCTCTGGACTTTTTCTGACGCCTAAGGGGACCGGTGGCCGCAATTGAAAATAAATTGACACGGCACTCATCAATGGAAGATGCGGGATCAAATCTCAGCAACCCTGAATTTGGTCCCAACCCCCTTCACAAATGAGTTTCTTCGATGGAAGAACACCGGCACGAATTCACAAAAAATGGAGCCAGGGATAAAGTACAATGAGCTGTACAGCTGCAGTGCTCAGGAGGGAACTCCTCCAGTTCCTGGTATCAAAAAAAAACACTATGAAGGTATACAAACAAGGTTGTGTTTACGTCTTAAGTCAACAATTATTCTTTATACCTAGTCATTATCAAAAATAAACAAATAATTTTTTGTGTGAGAGAGAGAAAGAGAAAGAGCGTATATTTTTTAAAGAGCGTATACTATATTTTTTATTATTTTTAGATTTTGGCTAGTTTCAACAATATTGTGACAAAGTAGGTCAAAACGTGGACGCAGTGTTTCTTTGTTGTTTTTTTCCTTCCTTCTTTATTTTATAAAGTTTAAAAGTTTCAAAGACGTTGTATAAAGAAATAAAGAAAAGTTTGTAGTCTTTCTTCGGCGTGGTTTAAACCAGGGGAAGCAGATCTCGCCGCAAATATACTTTGAATGGCGAGAAGGAAGAAGCGCATCTTCTATATTTTAAAAAATACGAGAGTATGCGGACCAGTAAGGAAATAATTACTCAACCTTTCAAGCCAGTTTATTAAAAAAATTGTTAATCCTTTTCTTATTCGAGAGAAAAGACGGTCCATTAAAGGTAAAAGTCGATAAATTTCACCCTTTAAAGACCATTTGGACATTAAACGGATTATAAACCTCTTTCTTCGATATTCGTTCCATCCCGTGTTGCTTCTAAATGGGTTTGCCAGTTTTAATGTATTAAAAGATCGCATCAATGACTTTCCCAAGTCTGCTACGATTGGCTTTTGACCCGACTGATAGACAATTAGGCCCCGGTCTGATCTTCAATCTTGTGAAAAGCGTTTTAGACAAGGGACATGGCGAAAGAGTGCTTTATTGGAACTAAGTATAAGTCTTTCCATCTTCCAGCAATTTGGATGAATCAAAGTTTTCAGTCCTAAAAGAAAAAGTTAAGAGAAAAAGGCTCTGTCGATTGTGACCTGACCATCACCCTTTGTAATAATTGTAATAACAAAAAATGTTAAGATCATAACATAAAACAAAAAGAAATTTTATAACAAATCAACGTTGTTTTAACCACAGTATAGACTTCTCAATAAAATCTTTTCAAAGCAAGCAGTAACAAGTTGAAAGTGTAAAGTGTTCCGCTGGGTAAAGAGTAGGCGAAGGTATTTGATTAAATGTAATGTAGATCGAACTATAGCTCGAACTTCAGCTGTCTTGTGTATAACAACTTTATTTGTAATTAAATTCACTAGTTTTAGTGGTCCGCTTGACCAATTAATATATAACAATTAATTAAGGTTTTTAGTTGAGACAAAAAAGTCAATGGCACGAGCGGGATTCGAACCCACGATCTTCGGCTAGATACGCCGCTGCTCTACCACTTGANGGTCACGATAGCTCAAGTGGTAGAGCAGCGGCGTATCTAGCCGAAGATCGTGGGTTCGAATCCCGCTCGTGACACTGACTTTTTTATCTCAACTAAATACCTTAATTAATTGAAATTTATTCGTAATGAGAAATGATCTTTGAAGAGACATCTGATCAAGTATGGCGCACAATTCATTAAAAAAACTCGCGAAACCGTACGCTGTTGCAATTTTCAGCCGATATGACTGAAGTATGGACAACTTGCTGATTATTAATAGCAAGTACGAGAGTTTCTGCCAAGCACAGTAAATAGAGTAATGGCTGCCTATGCAGTAACTTTATATCTTGCCTGGTTTCATCTCAGGTGTTTGCAGACTTGCAATGCAATTGAAAAAAGCTATAATTTGGTTGAAAGCGTTTAATTTGGTCATTTAGAGATCGTGAGATGCAGGCTGACATATGTATGTGCATATGTGTATGTGCTGTGTATATGTATGTAATTATATAAATTTGTACACATCATTTAACCTACATTCATTACCGTATCACTTAGCCTATGGCATAATACCAATGTTCTAACAGTTGACCAAAAATCATTAAATCTAATGTAGAGCATGATAAACTATATCAGCATACAATTTTAGAAAATTCAGTTTATTCTGCACTTTTTGTAAATAGGTTTTAAAAAGGGACTTAAATTTCCCTGAATTATGGACAATGTATTTGTACAATAAAATTATATTCAACTTTTTTTAAATGCTTTGCTTTAAGCATATATGAATAGTACACTCATATACACATTTTATAACAAGTAAGTACACATCAATTAATTAGAACAAGGAACTCGATAGATCAAGTGGTAAAGCAGCGGCGTATTTAGCCGAAGGTCGTGGGTTCGAATCCCGCTCGTGACACTGATTTTTTTATCTCAACCAAAACCTTAATTAAAGATTAATTAATTGAAAAGAAATTATTTGGTCAACCGGACCACAAAACCTAATAAAAATAAATTATTGATAATAAATTTTGCAAATATCACATTGTACGGCATTTTAGCAAGAACCATCTCCTGGATTTTAAGTATGATGACTTATCATACAGTTTTGCAAGGCGTTTACATGTTACAGTTTCTAAACCAAAATTATTGTTGATATTACTATAAATGGCCATGGTAATTAAAGTAAAAATATTTTTCTCTCAAATGTAGAATGAAGGCAGACGATGAAACACAGGATGAAGTTGAGGTTATCGAACTGCCATATGTGAAGTTGTGAGTTGGATCTTCAGGAGGTCAAATGAAGGATGAATTTAAAGAAAAACAAGGAATTATAATTATAATTAAAACAATTGTAATGTATTGAAGTCAAAGTTCGCTATAAAAATAATAGGACCTTACAACGTGTAAATAACATCTGTGGTAAATCATGAGTTTACCGGTTCATGTTTAATAAATAAACAAAGAATTTAAAAAAATAAATTTTTACCATTGTAGAAAATCACTGTAATCATATCACTCCTTGTGGTTAAATAAATTACATACAGCTGTTAATTTTCTTGATGAGAAAATTATTTACAATTTGATTTGTTTTTTAATTTATCGTAGTGTTAGAGGTTTAGGTCCAACAGAGAAAGTCCAGCGATGGCTTCAGTCTCGACGGAAAATGATCCTAGGGGATCTGTCGGAGAAGATGTTGAACTTGTCGGTGAAGAGGTGATCAGTTGATACGTTTAATTTAAAAAAATAAATAATAATCTAGGATTGAAGTGTATGCTGATTGCTGATTTGTATACACTAAAATCTGCTCATGTGTACAGAGTTACCTATCACTTCTTGCAGTCCACCTGCAATTCCAGCTTTTTTACTTTCCAATAAATAACCAGCAGTCCTCGAGGTGTTGGCGATTCTTATCCGTCCAGACGCAGAGGTTGGTCTCCATGTGCTATCAATAGCTAAGCCGTATCAGCCCCCAACATAATCAGTTTTCCATTCATTCTTAAATCTTTCCTATTTATTTGCCATTCACTCAATTACGATGATGGAGTACACAACATTCTTCCATCACCCTTTCCACCTATATATATCTACTACATACAACTATATAACCTAGTATATATAACTAGCGTAACTCAGTATATTCCAATATTCCACCATCGACCCTCTCACACGTTTTTTTACTCTCAGCACATGCGAGAGACCCAAAAAAAGATCAATAATGTAGAACAACCCTCCATGAATCATACCAAGATAGTTGCTGCTGTGCTGAAGCACAATTCTATCAGGTGGCATTACTACACACTATATGGAACTATTGCACCCTTCAGTTAGGTGGGGCACATCAAGAAACCTTTCTCTGCATGCCAGACACATATGTGTGCTTGACCACAATGAAAATGTGTCAACCTCACATGGCCTCTTGTGTGAAGATGACCCATGTTTTGGGGGTTAATGTTGTGTACGAAACTGTAGGTTATAATAGTAAATTATTCATGTCTATATTCTGAGCAATTGTCAGCTTTTTCTAACTAATAAATTAATTTCGAGGTTGAATTATGTCACAAATTGAATTTCTATATATTTTAACATAACGTAACTAGAGTGCAGAAGAGGCACAAATATGACATGTAGTATTACAATTAGTATAAGTTTAAAAATATGTACTATTTGAAGGGTTTGTTAAAACTGGTTGTTAATTATCTATTTATTTTAATATAGGAAAAGGCAGAAGATGAAATGTTCAAAGAATCAGTAGGTACCTTTGTGATTGTCGTTATTGACTTTTTCTTTACTATATATGCAATATTCTTCTGTTCAGAGGAGATTTGATCATGCAGAGGTTGAGGATATTATAAGGAATGCAATAAGGTTTGGTATCAGTCAAGAAAGGTTCAATCCCGCTCTGCTCAAGCAATGGACAAGAAACGTCTCCGAAGAGTGTATCGAGAAATTGGCCAATCTTAAAAAGCCTTATAAATTCTTTGGTGACTTAACATTCAGCTTGTAAGCCGTATAACATTGACCATACATTTTCTTGTCGTTTACAGTTTTCTGCGACATTTCGCAGAACAGCGGTGTGGGCATGCACCATATAATCACAGCGTACTGGGACGAGGACATCGACACTTACCATACTGTAATTTGGAACAACAAGACCATCCTCTGTATTGTCACTGTCCTAGGTGTCTGCATCGATCTAGAAGTTGAATAAAATTGCAATTGGTTGTTATTTACTTAACTTTTTATTTATTAAATTTATGGATCATCTAACAAAAAGAATACTTTAAAACTTTTTATGTATTTAAATTTCAACTTGGGATCATCACCTGCATATATTGGACGGATTTCTCCTTTGAGGTTTAGCTTCTTCTAAATTTTAAAACACTGGTGACTGTACAACTAAAATAACCCTGCTTCCTAGTATCTTTTTTACCATATCATACCATACAACTAAAATAAAACAAGTAAAACCCTGAAAGGTTAATGATTATCAAGAAAAGGTCAAGAATAAAAAATAAAAAAAGTGTGTAGAGAAAACAAGATTAATTTATTAGAATACGAGAAAAAATATCAAAATGACAAAAAATAATCTATAAGTATAATCCTTCGGGTGTTCCCTCTTTTTTGCGATAAAGCACCGACTCTTTAGACTTTTTGAAGTCATCATTATTAACTTTCATTCTGCGTTCCCTAAGCGCCATAAGTCCAGCTTCGGTACAAATAGCCTTAATGTCTGCTCCTGATAGATCATCCTTGGCCATGATGAGCTCTGAAAGATTGACATCTTCGGCGAGAGTCATCCTTGAAGTGTGAATATTGAAAATCCTCCTCTTTGTCTTCTCATCCGGAAGTGGGAACTCGATTTTCCTGTCAATCCTGCCTGGACGGATGAGTGCTGGGTCAAGGGTCTCAATACGGTTCGTCGCCATGACAACTTTGACATCGCCCCTCGAGTCAAAGCCATCGAGCTGATTCAACAGTTCTAACATCGTCCTCTGTATCTCCCTCTCACCGCCTGAATTCGAATCATACCTTTTAGTGCCTACTGCGTCGATTTCATCTATAAATACTATCGACGGGGCGTGTTCTTCTGCGACTCTGAAAAGCTCTCTTACTAATTTAGGACCATCACCTAAATATTTCTGTATCAGTTCTGAACCGACTACTCTTAGGAAGGTCGCTGAAGTCTGATTGGCTACAGCTTTAGCGAGTAATGTTTTACCTGTGCCAGGTGGTCCATAGAGTATGACTCCTTTAGGCGGCTTGATGCCCATCTCTTCATAGTACTCGGGGTGGGTCAACGGCAGCTCGACGGACTCCTTTATCTCCTGTATCTGCGTATCAAGACCACCTATGTCTGCGTAAGTCTCCTGTGGAGCTTTTTCAAGCTTCATGACTGTTACCATTGGGTCGGTGTCATCGGACAGCACACCGACAACTGCGTGCACCTTGTGGTTCAGAAGAACAGAGCAGCCCGGCTCGAGCTGATCCTTGTCGACAAATGACAAGATACTTACGTAATGTTCACTACCTACAGAAGTAGAAACTATTGCATGGTTGTCGTCTATGATTTCTTCAAGGTTGCCGACAGACATGGGGGTCCCTCGCAGGTCGTCTACCTTGGACCTCTCTTCTTCGTTTTTCTCTTCCTGGGGCTTGAGCCTTTCCTGGTTCCTGATGAATTCCTCCTCCATGAGCAGGTAATCCTTAATCCTCTCAAGCTTAAGCAGTTTCAACCTGCATTTTGTGTGCGGAGTGACTTGTGGCAATTTGGTCGCAGCGTCGGGCCCTTTCGTCCTTTTTTTCTTCTTGCCTACCCTCGTCGGGATCGGGGGCTCGTACTTCTTTTTCTTGTCTTTGTCGTCCTTTTTATCGCCTCCGGAGCTTCCACCCCCTGACTGGTTTTGACCCATTTCTCGATATTTCGTACAATCCGATGATCCTGATTTTTATGTGACAAACGGAATTTAACCTTTTCACTGTTCAGAGTTTCAGACTTAACGAGTCATCTCGAGTCAGTGTCGCAGTGTTGCCCAAACCGTAAAAAGTTTCCCTCCTCAAAATTACCTTCTTGAACAATGACAAATCAAATCCAAAGTTAGGAATGGACAATTTAAAGAAATTTAAAACGAATAACAATTTAAACCGTTTCATAAATCCAATCTTATCTATCAATTTACGGGAAAACTTCACTTCAGGGTGTCAGTGGCTGCAAAGGTTGAAACGGCGATCATTTTTTTTTAAAGGCGCCCTCTCACAATTCAGCTTTTGATCATCAACTTTAGTTCTGTTTCGTTTTTGTTAATTCATTTATTTAATTATTTTATGTATTATCAGTATTATGGTCAAGGGAGAGTATAAAAACAAAATTTCAAATTTGCCAAGCTTTCGACGCGGACTTTAAGGTCATTATCAGGGCCACGTTACCAAACTGGTGTGCAAACTATTTAGCAAAAGCATCATTGTTAAAATTTGCGTTTAACCACGTTTCAGTTAAAAAATAAAATCTAAAATTTTAAGAGGATATTGCTAAATTTAAATCCCCAATTTTGGTTCGAAGTCCTCAGACATTTTTGGTAGTAATTTTTTATTATTACTATCAATGATTATTTGTAGATCATGAGATGCGGTCTGGTGTGACGTAGATTTTAGAAAAACATTTTCTTTATCGTGCCAACGTTTCGATCTTTATTCAGATCATCTTCAGGGCCTGGGATTTGTAAACATTGTAAACATATATGTAGGATGTGTAAAAAAATGAATTTATAAAATGATAGAAATTCATTTTTTTCCACATCCTACATGTATTTGTAAAACTTAAACAATGTTTATAAATCCCAGGCCCTGAAGATGATCTGAATAAAGATCGTTTTATACAATTTAGATTAAAAATACACCACACACAAGAATGACACAATTACGCAGAAAACAAACACTTTGAGCCCTGAAGATGACCTCAATATAGATCGAAACGTTGGCACGGTAAAGAAAATGTTTTTCTAAAACCTACGTCACACCAGACCGCATCTCACGATCTCCAAATAATCATTGGCTAACGTTCACTGAACACCACACCTTACAATCAAATCACAGTAGGGTGAATAAGGATTATATTTGCATTTAAATCAAGACTTTGTTCCACATATAGTTTTTTGAAAGAACCGATTTATTTACAAATCAAGAGATTTCTTGTATTTAATAATGAGATCATTTTCTCCAGTATTACTACGAAGATCTAATTCTTTTTTTCTCTCGCTCCTCAGTCATTTGACATCAAATCGGGCGAGGCTTGTTTATTCTGTCCGTTTCTACCAAGTCTTTATATTCTCACTTTAACTTTTTTAACTTATAATTATTTTCATAGTTTATTATTAGGCAATAGTCGGTTGGAAAAATTGACGATATCGTTAACCATAATATGAAAATATTTTTAAAAAAAGTGAAAATATTAATCCTACTTTCAATTAATTAAGGTTTTTTAGTTGATATAAAAATGTTAGAGTCACGTGCGGGATTCGAACCCACGACCTTCTGCTTGATACGCCGCTACTCTACCACCTGAGCTATCGTGACTTCGATCCACTCGGACATCAACTTCCCATCTCATTATGGATTATTGGAATTAATCCTACTGTAAATTCTATTACATCAATGGAAAAGCATAAAAATTAAAAATATCTCATGTCATACTTGGTTTTACTAAGGTTACAATAAAACAAGTGTGTTATTTTAATGATCTTTCCAGTGATGTAATTAAATTTACAGTAGGCTTAATATTTTATGAGGTACCGGTGTTTTATGGGAAATTAGTGAAAGGTTGAAGTAACACGAAAATTGAGAAAACTCGAATATATTTGATATGCAGAATAAGTTCCTTAACTACTGACATCTGTTCATAGGACACCTTGTATATGTAAGAAAGCTTTCAAAAGTTGAATCTTGAGAACTGGCCTTGTTTAAAAAAGTTAAGATAGACGGTTTCTGTAGGAATTTGAAGACTGCTGACTAAGGCGAAGGGGTGGCCACCTGGCCCACTTGACATTGCTGGCGTGTTGTATATAACGTGACCAGATATTCCATAACTTCCATAATGAGTACAATAAAGGTTTTAATTTCCCAAAATTTACCTTTCTAGTCTACAAGACAAATTAAGAAGTCATTAGAAATAAAGGTGAACTAAAGACCGATAAACCGAGGTTTTTCCCTATTTAGCGAAAAGGAGACGCACTAACCTTCAATACTACAAATCACATGTTTATTCGTAAATCTCTATTTAAGACAAAACAATACATAAAAAACATGCCAAATTCAAACATAAGACTTTTGTAATCTATACTAATAGTATGATAGAGTACTATTAGTATTGTTCTAATAGTACAATAAATTAAAACAAAAAAATAAAAGTGGGTGAAATGGGGAAAGAAGGAGAGAGAGAGTGTGTGTGTGAGAGAGAGAGAGAGAGAGAGAGAAAATGAGAGTGAGAAAGAAAGAGTTTAGTAAGCGGGTCCCCGTCTTACAATAAATTCTAGTTTTAAAGTAAAACAAAAAAAAATAGTTTAAATGATCATAGAAAAAAGGCTATAAATCGGAACGTGGTATCGCCCAGACAGGACCACCGTGGTCCCCCACCAATCTGGGAAACATAACTCTGCAATAGTTAAGCATTTGGTCGAAGAACTGTCTCATCGGCTAATCCTTCTTCCCGCCCAAATGACCCGGGCCTGAAAAAAGATCCTTGGGCCATTTGTGTCACTCCGTCCAGCCAGTACAGGCCTACAGGACCACTTTCTGTACGTAAGTAACTTCATTTCACACAGAAGTCAAACTTCAACCGCCCCCTACTACAATTTGATTTGTAAAAATTACAATTAAATTGATATGATTCTGCTTTTGATTATTTTATTAAATCTCCATAATAATTCGTCTATCTCGGTTTTTTAACACTTTATTTGAATAACTTAAAAGTAATTACAGCATAAACAACAAAGACATTTATTTTATACCGCATAAAATCACATTAATGTTATGATATTTAGGATATGTAATATGATAATTCTAGAGAGAAACGAGGTTTTACCTATATCTGGGGAAGCGAAAACTAAGCAGTCACAGGAACTTTGCAATTTAAAAAAATATGAAAGAAGTGTTAAGTGGTTCGACCTTTCGGCGACACCCAAAAGGTACGTATGACCGAAATTGACTTTAAATTAAAAGAACTTTATAATGTAATCAGTGGAGTGAATTGATTTTTTTATTAAGAATTATAATTGAAAGTAGTGATATTCGATTATAATTATATTAAAGAATAATAACCATCGTATGGGACAAAACTTTTAATACTACCAGCAAGATTTATCTTATCATGTATGATGATTCATCAGTCAGAAAATATCGGAGGAACAAAGCAAAAAAAGATAAGGATTTTATGCATTCTTATCCGACTTTGTTCGGAAGATTATATCGGCGTAAAAAAATCTTTAATCGTTCGCACTATACCTGATTAAATAATAATTTTTGGAAACGGCCTGGAGGATAATGTGGGACATAGAGAAAAGTGTTTGGCCTAATGGGTAAGGAGTGATTGTTTAGTGTGGAAATTGAGTAAGCTTAAGCGTAATTTAAGTCTTTACGGATCTTTCGTTTAGTGACGTAGAAGGGAACATTAAGGTTACGGCGGAGAACTTTGGACTGAATTCCTTAGATTGGAGGATTTGGCCGAGCCTCACAGTTCGACTCTGTATGTTCAATAGGTCTGTTGATGTTTTGTAAGTTTATGTATGCTTAGTGTTGATTTTGGTTCCATTAGGTAACTGAGTAGTATATATTTCGTTAAGTTCTTGTCGTTTTAATCTTGTATGTGAGTTCCATGTAAGTCTTCTGTCTAAGTAAAGTCCAAGTTTAACTTGGTTAGGTGGTGGTATTACATTGTTTATGTGCACTGGTTGGCAGGTTTGACTTTTAAGCGTAAACGTAACTTGTTGGCCTTTTTTTTGTCAATTATGTGTTTGGTGTGTCAGCAGTTTAGATAGTGTGTCTAGTGTGGTCTGGACCTAGGATACTTTCTTGTTGAACGCCAGCTTTGATTCGCGTAAAAAATCAGTGAAAAATCGATGCAATTCTTATTTTAACTCATCGATCCGAGAGGAAGAACTTCAGGATGAGATGGTAGGTGTGCGGGAGGATAATTTTAACTTATAAAGAAGGCCGGGATGCCACACTCGGTCGAATGCTTCCGTAACGTCCAGAAATCCGACAAAGCAGTTTTGTTTTCTACAGTCAAGGATATCGTGTCGACTATAAAACTCTGCTGAACAGTAGAATGGAGAGGTCGGAATCCAAATTGATGGTTTGGAGAAGGAATATGTAATAAAAAAAACCCTACATGGTCTAAAGGCTGAAGGGAGAACAAGTTTTAAAAAAATTGGTTAATCTTTCACGACCCACTGGTCACCCAAAATCTCTACGCGTATTAATTTAATAATTCAGTAGTCTGCTAAGAACTAAAGATGACCAAAGCGCGTAAATTTGGCATCATGTATTGACTAACAAAAATAAACCTAATTATGCTGGTACATGATTGATAGTTATGAATAAGTAATAGGACTCATCTCTGGTGGGATGACCCAGGTTGGCTTAAGAATAATCAAATTCTCGTTCTACGACTACTTCATACGAATCATGTCGTGGATATTAAGATTCATTAAGAATTGCCCTATAAGTGCCTCCGAATTTCGCCAGGAAGATAATAAGTAGCTAAAAATGATCACCATGTTGTAGTTATTCAGCATCGCCAATTCCCTTTCCAGGACTTTGTCGATGTCCTCAAGGTTAGCGACTAACGGTTCTTTGCTTAATAGACCTTGTATTCTTCCAAACAACATTAGATAAAATGAAGCAACAGTAGAGTTTATTTATTAGAAATACATTTTGGCAGGCGGTGTATTGATGCAAGAATAAACATTGTGCATTACACGTAAACGACTTTTTTTTACTTTGTAGTACATTATTATTTTCAAGTAGGTAACAAGTAACAGTGAACAGGTAACATATACATATATACAAATTAATTAATATATTATAACATTTTTTTTTTTATTGATTTGATTTTTTTTTTTTTTTTTTAAATTGGCCTTATGATCTAGCATATTAGCCATGGTACGGATTCTTGTGTGTTCAAATTGGGGGTTATTGGTAAAAAAGGGCCAGAGGCGACGGTAGGAATCGAACCCACGACCGCGGCGCGAGAGTCTCTCATGCTAACCACTCGGCTACCGCGGTCCCCCCCCTCTAATGTTACTAAAACATTGTCTGATTAAATGATACTGGTGACATTATCACTTTCGCTATCAAACCATCACTTTAGGAGATCTCGCGGCCATTTTCTGTTCAGTCGGCGACCAGGGTTCGAGTTGATTTGTCGGGATGCGAAGTTTCTGATGTGCTGATTTTTGGTAGTTGAGAGTTTTTTTATGAAATTTGCACTAACGGGAACGGATTTCATGTTGAACGAAAGGGATATGTAAATCTGTATGTGCAATTAGGTTCGATACATAAAATCGAGAATCTAGTATTTTTCGTAGTATTAAGGATGGGCAGTTTGAATATTGACGTTTACGTTTTTCTTTCTTTTTGACTACAAACATTAATTTATTGAAAACTAGATATTTTTATGGTTTTGAGTAGAACAAAGTGATTCCTACTACCACGAACGAACGTAACTACAAGCCCAAAGATACGCAAAAACATATTTGGCTTTTCTGAAGGCTTCCCTTTGTTAGTCATTAATATTTTGTAACTTAAAATTTTTTTTTTGTAGAACCTGGCCAGGATTTGGTTCTTTTATAAATCATTGCTTTTATAAATTATTATTATTTATTCTTTAATTATATACTTTTTATTCTTTGTTCATTTTTATTTTTGTCTGTGCAATAAATAATTGTTCTTGGTCTTGAAGCCTCAAACGTCCCTGCGTGCGATGATCACCTCGTCATTCTTGGCGTTTTGGGTTCGATGAAATTTGCTCCAAAAGACTCGTGACATCCATCCCCAAAACTTCACCTAGCTTGTCCGATCCTGGTACTTTTTGGTATGTAAGACCGACAATATTGTCCCAGTGAAAACGGCAATAATTTATGTGTAATGAGTCTTTTCTCAGAATGCAGATAGTGTCCGGTTTCATTTGCTTAACGTTCCTTCATAGCTGTATAAGTTTCCTTATTTTAATGCGAGTGCTATAGCAAAAATCTGCTGATATTCTCCATTTCGTGCCTTTTTAGTCTGGGAGCAGATTTAAATATTTCCCATTTATCCGATGTGCGCGCGAGATTAACCAGCAAGGGACACGGAAAAGTATTCTTGCGGCTTAAAGGTTTCACAGCTGCAATCTCAAAGGATTTAGACAACTGTAAAACTTCCGCCATAAAAGAGCGAACAATTTCTTCAAGGTTGTCATCGCTTTTGTAAGATATACCGTAAAAAATTAAATTATTTCTTCGGCTAAAATTATCCAAAGCTTCCACCTGTCTTTCACGCCTTCTATCCACTTCAGTTAGGCGGGCAACTTCATTCCTCAGCTCCATGTTTTCTTTTTTCAATGTTTTGATTTCTTCAAACATTCTATCAATGCTTTTCTTCAATGTACTCAAGTCCTGTTTTGTAGGTAAACAAAAGAACTTTTCATCTATCATTAGGCTAAGCTTACGAACCAAGTCATTACTCGGATCACTTACTGACGAGGCAGCCGATAGAGACATCTTATGAGCTTTTACACAGGAATGAAAATCCGGGCTTGACGATCCAGGCGAACTTCTTGGGTGTTTTGAGGACTTAGGCGTCATTTGCATTACGTAGTTAGTAGATGTGGTGGAGCAGAAATTGTGTCAAGCTTTAACGGTAGCCTTGGGGATTTGAATGTTGACATATAGCAGTCAGCTGACACCTCCTATCTCCAGGTCTTATCCAAGGTCAAGACCGGCTTCTTGTTGTTGGTTTTGTTTTTGGTGGCCAGTGTCACTGCCCTGAGCCCAGGATGTTATCAGACCGACCCTTGTACCGGTTCCACAGTTAGCACGGCAAAGATACAAGTCCAAGAAATTGAATAATTTCAAAATTAAAGGACTTACTGTGGGAAATGAAGCTATGTAATCCACTCCAGTTAGAGGCTAATTTTTTGCTCACAGAAATCAATTTTTTCCGCTAGAAAAAGCCAAAGCCAACAGGGAGCACATTAACATGTCCGCACACAATGACACCGTTCCCACCAAGATCTTCAGAAATCTCCAAATGAAGCTAAGAAAGACAGACCTGCCGTAAACATTCATACCAATTGTACAATTATTCTACTGTTAAATAGTTGCTTTTTTGCATATAATGTAAACAATCTTAATAGTAAGAAGGATATGAGCGTTTCTTTTTTTATTTTGCCACTAGTATTGATATTTCTTTTTTTAAATAGAAACTCATGTGACGGAAGAAAAAAATTTGATTTCTTTAGTAGATTGTTTTAGGTTTTAATCTGTGTTGGGTGCCGGAGTGGAGATCTTCTGTCTTTGGCAGATCAAAGGGCGGTGTCCTTTTAGGTTTCAAAAAATGTCATAACAAGATCATGAAAACGTCTAAGTTAGGAACTCTCAATATAATTGATGTCGAAATAAATGGAATCTCAGTAAGCGTCATACCCGTTTAATTGTATCTTAATTGTAATAATTGGCACACCGCTTTTGAGGAATTACATGATACCCTTGTAGAACACAACTCTATTAATTACATTTTAAGGTGATTTTAATGTAAGAATTGCCTCTGATCAAATGTTGGATGAATATCTGTTGGTTAATGTAGACAAGTTTAAGTAAGTTTATAAGTTTTATGTAGTAAGTAGATAAGTTTATAATCAGAGAGGTTTATATTATTTTGCAGTGTATAAAATTAGTTATTCATTTTATTTATATATTTTATTTTATTCTGTTATTATTATTATGATTATCATTATTACTATTATTATGTTCTCACCACCTACCGGCAGACGGAGAATCCATGCCGTATTGTTTATTTTTTATTGAGTACATTTATGTTCACTTTATTATAATATTGCTTACAAATACAATAAACTATTATTATTATTATTATTAATGGTTCTTGGTAGTCGGTTCACCGATTTGAACGAAACCTTTTTTTGTCATACTAAGTCGAAAAATAATCGTATATTTTATAATTAGTTTAAGTATTAATTTTTGTTAAACTTTTTTTGCTAATAACTGGTTGTTCCCAACGTGAATAGAACGTTGAATGATTTTCTATTACAGATAAAATGTTGACGCCCCTCCCATAAAAAATTGAAAAATCTTGACAGAACACGGAGAAAATTTGCGCAGTGTTGCCACCCGGGAGAAGTTTTGCCGGAAGAAACTTTGAAAGTTATACGACTGTTATATGTACATATATCCAAACAAGGATTTTATAAACATACTACCAATATTTATACATAAAGTTGTTTTTTATGTATTTTAATAGTTTGTTCTACTATGGCCGAAGGCGACGGATGGTACCTGGTCGGACCCCTGCAAGAAGATTGCATAAAGAAAGAGTACAAACTCAAAGAAGGAGTGGTAAGTTGAAAATTTGCCAAATACCCTAACTCGAATTTTCCACTGTATCAAGTAAAAAAGTGACAAATTTGGTCAAAAAAAGTTTAGAAAAGAAGTCAATCGGATGGACGTGTCAATGACGATTATAGAATAGAAATTTGACTCTTGAAAATCAAATCCAATTATCTTTTTGAGTAAATTGACAAGGGTATAAAACAGGAATTAGCTTGTATAATCATCTTTACCACAAATCTTTTGGTCAGTTTTAATTTAATGTCATATACGTTCAAATATAACTGCTAGCACATTATTATAAATATTTATTAATAAAATAAAAAATTTATTGTTCTTAAACCACCATGGTAGATGTAGGTCAGCGAGTCGGTGAACTTGATCTGTCTAGCTAGCAGCAACTTACTCCATCCGTAAATGATCAAAATCACCCAAGACAATACAAAATTAATGCAACAAAAAAGCACATTTATAAAAAATAAATTAACCAATCTCCCAAAACCCATACCCAAAATTTATAAATAAAAGTGATAAAATCATGTAAAATAAACGTTATTCTGGGTCTTAAAGTCTCCTTAAATAATTATTTATAAATGCAACATATTTACAGAGATTTATTATTTTTTATGCAAAGTATGTTGAAAAATTGGTGTCACGAGCAGGACATAGACCTGCAACATCTGAATAAGTACCCCGGAATTCTACCACTTAAGCTATCGTTACATTTATCCTCAGACCAACTAATCATCTCAACCTACAACTTTTTGGCATTTCCCTCTTTTTTGCCTAATAATAAATAAATTAAAATAATTATTTTGGTTATGAAAACCAACTAAAACATTTATATTAATATTTAATATTTAAAAGATTTAAGCTAGATAAGGCAATATAGAGATGTCAGGAGGGTTTAATGCTGAACTACCTGTTGGTTTTCATGATCCAACTAATATTGTCAAGTAAAAAGCCATAGGCTCTGCTCAGTGGGATTCCAACCCAGAACCGCTAGTATGGCAAATATGAACTTCAGCCATCATGGTTCCCAACAACAGTGCATACGTTCACATAAGTCTCAGGTCATTCAATTTTCTAAAAAAAGTTTGCAAATGAATTTGCTTGTTTGTTTACAAATTCAGTGGTCATCCAATTAATGTCATTCACTTCGTCTCAGAACTTGGTGTATTTTTAATAAGAATTGCGATTTTTGTGACCATGTTCAAGCTGTTAAAAAAAAATCATTTAATTATTTAGCCTTCATTAAAAGGCAAACAGTAGATTTTAAAAATCTATTTGCTGTAAAAATCCTCTACGATCGGTTGTTCGTTGCCATTTGGAGAATGCAAATATTATTTGGTCACTCGGATCAAACAGAGGATCACTCATTGAAAAAGTCCCAGATATCTATATATCTGTTCAAAATGAATATATATGACAGTGATTATTTAGAGATTGTGGGATGTGGTCTGGTGTACTCTAGACTGCTTCTCACACTCTCTAAATAATTTGGCATGGGTACTTGGGCATTCAGGGTATAGAGGCAATGAAAAGGTTGACATGTTGGCTAAAGAGGGGGCCACATGCTCTCTGCGTCCTGAACCCTACTGAGGCATCCTGCCACAAAAGATGATACGTCTTAAAATGGATCCTTAATGAGTCCAAACCCTGGTGGAACAATACCACAGGTATGAGGCACACGAGGAGATTCATAGAAGGACTATCTGCAAAACTTACAAAAGAATTACTGAAAGGCAGCCGCAACCAAACCAGAATTCTGGTTGGACTCCTGACAGGACATTGCCACTTAAGAAAGCACATGCACCAGATAGGAGTACAGAGAGAAGAAACACAGATACTGCCAGGAAGAGGAGACAGCAGCACACATACTATGTTTTTTTTTTGAAGGTGTAGGTGCAGGTTCTTGCAACTAGGACAAGATAAACTGCAAGAAGATCCTACACCAGGAACCGCTGGCAAAGCTGTGAAGGCTGGTTAATAGCCTGAAGCTAGCCAGTGAGTTGTAATAACAGAGGAGCACAATAGATCTATTCAGGGCGAGGTGCAGAAGGCCTTGTGGCTGCCTCTTTTATCCCTATCCCTGCCCCTAACGGTCACTAAATATTACACATATATGACAATAGTGAGCTTCCTTGTACTGAATTTGGTCAGATTGGACCTTTGGGAAGATAAAAGAATTTTTGCTTTGGCCTTGTTCTTATGGAAGATACTGAACATTATGATTTATTCCCTGGAGATCTTTTCCTTGGAATTAGGGTCTCCCAGCATCAACTCTGCTCCAGTGAGCTATGGGAATTATCCTCTTATGAATTATGGTCGGAATGTTGTTTTGATTGAATGGTTCAGCACATAAATCAAAATGGAGATGTTTCAGACCCTTTCTGTGACACCTACCTGGTTTTCAAACAGAAGGTTTTGCTAGCATTAAAAGAGTAATTCACTGAGCCCTGTTTTTTTTAAAAATATTTTTTCCTTAGCCACAAGTGTTATTGTTATCTATTGAACTTTGTCGCCAACTTTTAAGTGCATCATTGATATATATCCATGTTATTAGATGTTTTCTTTGATGTCAGTGACTACTAAATAGTCGGATCTATCCTCTGAGTTTAGCCCTCTCTAACTGCAGCAATGAATTTACAAGGCTTGGCGAGGGATATGTAACAAGCTTACTGTGTCTAGCACCTGTAAAGTTTATCCACTTCTCCTTTTGTCACTTTTGAATCCATTCTGTGGTATAGGGTTATATGTTTGTTTTTATTAATCCAAGAATAAGGTACAGAGGTAACATACAGGGTGGCCCCAATCGATTCAGCCACACTTCCTGATCTTGTAGGAAATTGAACGCTGAGTAAAAAAGGTCTTATGAACCTGTGTCCCTTACTCACAGTTACTACTGTGAACCTTCAGTTCTGAGCTACAGGCAAAAGACCATGAAAAACCACGTTTTTTACGTTATTCGTGAAATTGTTAGTAAACCGTTAGCCTGACCGTAAAACAGCTCGAAACATCTGTAGAGGATTAATTTCTGCATCGAATGAGATTAAAACCAGCCTGATTGGCTGAAAATAAAACACATCTTGAACTGTTTTCTGATGGGTACTCCCTACTGAATGAATAATGCACGAAAAATCTGAACAGCTAACCGCATTTGTGAATTTTCGATAAAAATGTCAGAAATGGTGAATTTTGTGTACCCCTTCACCTCCTAACTTCGAAAAATCGCCAAAAATGAAATTTTTAGTCGATCAGGCTGGTTTTAATCTCATTTGACGCAGAAATTAATCCTCTGTTGCTTCGAGCTGTTTTATGGTCAGGCTAACGATTTACTAACAATTTCATGAATAATTTTAAAAAATGTGGTTTTTCATGGTTTTTTGCCTGTAGCTCGGAACTGAAGGGTTTGCGGACAAAGGTCCATAAGACCTTTTTTACTCAGTGCTCAATTTCTTATAAGATTTAGAAGTGTGGCTGAATCGATTGGGGCCACCCTGTATATGTTGCAGATCCTCCTCAGGTCAATGAGTCTGCCATTTCATACCCAGAATTCCTGTGTGTCCTAGTACCCCAGATAGAGCCCCAGCGTCGTTAATAAAAAAGCAATACAGAAGCAAAGCCAAAAATACTGTAAAGAGCCGGCAACGGCTTAGGAACAGTACAACAAATAGGGCTAAGATAGAGCCCCAGCTGGAAATATATCTTCTGGGATGTTAATCACCAGCATTTATCTCATCCTTTTTAACAATTTATGATTAAGTACTTGTTTGTATTTTCCTTTATATAATAATTAAATTTCTTCCAACAAAACAACAACATTGTTTTGCTAAAATAAGGCCCTGAGTATCCAATCCTGCCCTAACTTCCACCCCTGCACATTGTTTTAATGCTTAATCCAGCTGAAAATAGCTTTTCCCAAAACAGAGTGGTTTATTATTGAAAAATTGACAAGTTGACATATCTTCCCTTGTTCATTATTTTACTCTGTCTCATTGCATTTAGAGCTTCCAGAAGAATCCCCAGCAATTTGCAAGTTCTCTATTGATGATTTAATCTATAATGTGCATAATTAATTTGAGCAAAGATGCAGCTATGAATCGGCAGTTGTCTGGCGCCCTATGGTTGGTATTATTTTATCATATTACCTCTCACACCTCTGAAAGCAGGATAGGATAATAGATTGGCTGTTTTTTATTCGTCTTTATGACACTCCAAAACTCCTTCATATTTTTAGTTTCACCCAGGCTATTTATTAGTTTACTGTTGTGGCTGTGTTTGCTTTATTTTGGTTAAACTTATGGTTTTAATTCCATTGTCACATATGTTTGTTTTTCTTCCAGACAAGTATTGGCCGAGGAGTCAATAATGATATAAGAATCGAAGAAACGGAGGTGTCCAGGGATCACTGCAAACTTGTTATTCAAGACAATAACATATCCATAATTGACCTTCAAGTGGGTTAACAAAAAATATTTTTAATTCGACTATTTGTTGATCAATTGATTGAATTTTAGAGTTTTAATGGGTGTTACGTCGAAAGTTTGAAAGTCCCAGCATGGAGGCCTCTCGGCCTGTCTTCAGGTGACAAGATAGGCTTTGGAATCAATGCAGTCCAATATCCTGATTCTAAGCTCGCTTTTCAGATAATCAGCAAATCCTCTAATCCCCCTCTTTTACCAGTAATAATTTAATTGACTAAATACATCACAATATATTTTGTCGGATGTTTGAAAATATTTTTATTGGTATATTTTTTAAAACAGGGTTTGACGGAAGAGGAACAAATGAGAGCTTTAAAATCAAGGGAAAATGAGGGGAACAAGAGAAAGTCATCAGAAACCTTTTTACACCCAGGGGTCAAGAGGAGTAAAGGAGGAAAAGGATCTCATACGAATACTTCTTCAAATCTGTTTACCGAAAATCCTGAATTATCAAAGCTTCCTACTAAGCCATTTAATTTAGATGTGTGTAAGTCTTTGCCTAAGCAAGAAGAGTCCAACTATGTGGATTCTCCAGCATCCCCAACATCCAATGTCTCAGACGATGACATTATATTTGTTGGTGCTAAAATTCCTTTAAAGACAAACGTTTCATCAAGCATTTCACCCCAATTTGTTCCTGATAATTCATCGACTCCTTTCAAATCCAGGGCTGAAAATGACCTGAATAACTCTGGTTTTTCTGAACATGACGGGATCATTGAAATTGAGGATAGTGACGATGAAAATTTATTGTCTCAGATGTTCATCACACCGACCAGTGAAATCGGAACACCAAATGGTTGCAATGTTTTCATAAAAGAAGAAGTCGACCTTGATGATTTAATACTGATAGATGATGATGATGACGATGATGACATGTTTTCTCAGCACTTCTCACAGAGTTTTACCATTAATGACTCGGCAAAAGCTAGAGTGCCCAAAGACCAAAAAACGGATGCTATTTCTGAAAGTAAAAAAGACATTCAAATGGAAGTAGATATTAAACTAGAGGTAAAAGAAAAAGATAAAAAGGATATGGTTCAAATTGGTGTGAAGGAAGAAAATTCCTTTAAGAAAGAGGCTAAGGTAAAAGAAATTGCCGAAAGTAAAACTCATTCAGAAGAAAAATTGAAGACTAAGGAAAGTACCAAAGATATTGAAAATAAAGTCACTAAACATTTAAAAATAAGTAAGAAATATGATGACAGTACAGCAGAAGTTAAAGATAAAAAGGGTAAGTTTTTTAGCGTTTCTACAAATAAAAAACCGGAATCAAAGTCAGCCATCCTTATTAAAGATCCGCCGCAAATCAAACCTGATAGTAGTACGACAAAATCTTCTAAACCTGAAGGTAGGAAAACTCGAAAGAGGTCGAGGCAAAAGTCAGTTGAAAAACAGCCTTTCTGCACTGCTGAGGAGAAGCAAAAGGTGAAGGAGTCGAGGAGGGAAAAACTGAAAAACATTGCTCTAAAAAGCAGGAGGCTATCGGAAGAAGAGTACAAAAAAGGCAATAATGGTGCTGACATAAAACTTCCTCGTGGCTCCTCCAGATCAGAATTTCTGTCTAAATCGAATGAATCAGTGGCGAATAACAAAAAGGCTAAAACTAAAAAAGACACTGAAGATTGTACACTTGTTCCACAGCCAAACAATAAAAAAACACAAGATCCAGATGAAAAGGGAGAAACTGTCAATACAGATACCATTATTACAGAGAGTACAAATAATCAAAACAAATTGCTACAAACCAATTTAACCATTAGTACTAAAAATGTAGAGAAGAGTGTATTTAAAGATATAATCAATTTAGCCAAATCGAAAGACAAAAATCAACCAGTTGCTTCGATAGAAAATCAAAATGATTCAAGCTCCATGAAAACATCTAATATTGCAAAGAAGAAAGTCACTTTTAACATGGAGAGAAACCAAATTTTTGAAATTCCATCTTTCAAGGAGAATACTAAAGTAGAACATAAAAAGGAACAATTTCTCAGGAAAGAACCACCTCTAGTAAAGCCCCGTAAATTAAACTGGTCCAAAATTATAACAACAAGCCGGACGATTTTTGAAATATGTAAATGGAACGTCAACTGGCTACATGTAAGCATGTTCTTTATTATTCAGGTTTTTGTTTTTTTAATAATTTTTTGTTTTTAGGAGTGCAAAACTATAAATAAAGACCCACCAATATCTGAAAGGCCTTTAATGGTTGAAGATTCTTATAGTTCCTATAGTTTGTATAAGAAAAGCATGTTTCCTTTATTAATGAGTGAAGTTTGGTCATCGGTCGTTAAAGAAAAGGATGTACAAGACTGCAACCTCAAGTAAGTTGTGTCATTAACATCAAATCATTCATTGACTTATTCCACGAATAATAAGTCTTGAATTTACTAGTGTCACATTTTTTTAGTTGTCTTGTACATGTAGTTCAATTTAACCATTGTAAGTTGCATGTGTGGATTCCACATCAACCTTTGTCTACGTACAGTCCCAAGTATTTGACACGATCTGCCACAGGAAGTGGAATTTGATTCAGATAATTAGGAGGGATTTTTTTTCTTTTGTGTTTTCTTTTGGGGTCTACATTTCTTAAATTGCAACCTAAAAGATCTCTTGTGTTATAAGTGTATTTTGCATTTGAGGGTAAAGGACACATATTTGCATTTGTTTTCATTCATTTTTATTCTCCATTGGATAGATCAATGGTTCTAAGGTAAGGAGGTGGGCCTTGGAGGGATCAATTGAAGTGGATCGAGGTTCACAGAGTGGATTGATGCATTGTCTGCAAAGGTAAGGTAGGGTGTTGAAGAAATTCTGTTTATGGTGAAAAGTAACTGACCTCGAATGGCCCCTTGAGGAACACCAAAGATGATAGAATGGATTTAATAGGTTGAGGTTCGGTAACAGTTTTAGATTTAAGTTTCAGTACCCTGGTAAAACATGAGATCGAACCCACGGGAGACACCTATAGAGGCCAAGTAACTGCTCATGCTCAAGGTATGTTGTGATGAGGTCTACAAGGCAAATTTGGTGGATTGTAATATTGAAGCCAAATTGGTCTTACAGAAGATTTCTTACAGCCTTGGTAGGAGTAGCTTTTTTATTACTTTCGTGATGATTAGATTAGGATCAGGGAAAAATTGTTAGTTCATTAGGCTTGTGGTTATTGTAGATGGAAGATAATTTTCATAGGGTAGGAAAGTTGGGAAGGTTGAGAATGACTTTTTTTTTTTAAACTACCAGGTGTGAAGTATTTTAGTGGGTTGGGCAAAGAGATTTCAACTTGTTCCTGTAAGGGGTCAGTGTGTTTGAGTCATGTACTGTGACTTGGAGTGAATATAAAATATTTATTTATTTATTTTTGTCCAGAAACTTTGGAATTCTCCATGGTGTTGTGGAAGAACATAACTGTTTGAATATGAGCGAAAGTCGGAAAATTATCATCTGCCATTGTTTGAGTACGTACTTGTTCTATATATCATGAAAGTATTTTATTCCGAATGTAATATTTTTCAGTGGTTAGCGAGCAGTCTTCATGGAAGGAATTGACGCCTCGATTCGCGGACCTTGTTGTAGCACAGGTCACGGTGCCGACTCGTGAAAAAAAAATGATGTACCAGTCATTCAGCATCATTTCAAACAGTCCGAGATTCGCACCGATCAACCATTCTAAAAACAACAAATACATGGGATTTCTTTTGAACTCGCTGAGGGCAAAAAGTGGCGCTCCGACCATCAGTATGAATTCAAATAATTTGATTTAAAAATTTGGTGGTTTTATTTCTATTTTTGTAATTTTATTTTTTTAGAACCTGTTGTGTTTTGCACTTTGGATTTAATATTTCGGGCATCTTCGTCAAAAATTATTGAAAACGGGTTTTTACTTGTTACCAGGGTACAAACTATTGCATTTTCAAATGTTTTACTTGTCAATTATTTGTTTATATTTTTCTTTAGAGTTTGAAGAATCTCAACTCTGACATGAGGCTGTTCGAGGCAATAGAACATGTGCAGAATGTTCCTCTTAAAAAATTAATCCTTGACCCTTCATCTTATTCTCCAGCCCCTGAGTTACCTGAAGGAGACAAACTAGTCACTAAAGTATGGTTTTAAAATTTTTTTTGATAAAATGAGAATTTTATCAGTTTATTTATTTATTTTTTTGTAGTTTCCATTGAATGAAATGCAAAAAAAGGCTGTTCTTTCCTGCTCAAAATTTGTTTTGCATAAAATACCAAACATAAGCATTATACACGGACCTCCAGGTATTTTATTGTCAAATATTTAAAAAAATTATTTACATATTAATTTACCACTGTATCAGGTACTGGGAAAACCCTTGTAATAACAAGCCTCGTAGAGCAAATTCTACATTATTCGAGGAACCAAGGTAAAAGGTCAAAATCTAAGATTCTCCTGTGCGCTCCGTCTAATTCTGCTGTCGATGAGGTAGTACTGAGGCTTCTTGAGTTAAGACGTACGCTTACAGATAAATTCAAATTGACAAGATGCGGCAATATAGACAGCATGCATCCGATTGTACGAGAAATTTCGCCCCAAATGCTTGCTGAAAAAGAAGTTAGAAATTATCTGAACCAAGAGAATCTGGAAGTTGAGGTAAACACCCGGTACAAATAGATTATTTTACAAATAAAAAAAATTTTATTTTCTAGTTGAGCTTGTTAAAAGCGAGAGAGACATGTTATAAAATGGCAATTGAAAAGGAGAACAAATACAACGATAGATTCACACACATGTGTTCAAAAGTTCAAGAAAAGCGAATTATACTTGAAAAACTTAAAAACTCTACGAACCATGACATTATGCAATATGAAAAAAACAAAATGCTGCTCGAGGAGGAGAATAGCGTTATTTACAATGCCGAGATAATAGCGACAACGCTGTCTTCTTGCTTCAGCCGAAAAGTTGCTGACGCACTTTATGATTGCAGGTACGTAAATAAGTATACTAGAATAAAATTATTTATTTATAAAGTGTTTTAGTGAGAGTGGACATCCAACTTTTTCTTGCTGCATCATCGATGAAGCTACTCAAGCAGTCGAACCTGAAGTACTTCTCCCTTTACTACACAACATTAACAATGTCATTCTTGTCGGCGATCCTCTCCAGCTGCCTGCGACTGTTGTTTCACAGGTTATTTTAAAAAGTTAACTTTTCTTCTCTTTTTGTGTAAACATTTTAAAATTGATTTTTCAGACGTGCAAGTCGTTCAAGTTTGACCATTCTCTTTATCATCGTTTTTGGAAGTGCTGGGAGAACAGAGATGACGTACCGTTATTCAAACTTCAGGACCAGCATAGGATGCATCCGGAAATCGCGTTGTTCCCTGCGTGTCATTTTTACGGCGGGAATGTGAAAACGCCAGCGTTCATGGACTTGAATTTCCCATTCAGGCCATATTTGGTTATCGAGCACAATTTCACTCAAGATGCTGGAGGGTGAGTCTTAAAATTCTATAACGGTGTTCATTTTTATGTATTTAATTAAATAATTAATGTATTATTTATTTTTAGTGAGAGCAATAGATCTGAAGGAAAACTAATTGTTGATTTGATATCTGAACTTACCAGAGTGAAAAATTTTGAAGGGCTTAACCTAGGGGTGATTGTACCATACCAATGCCAAAAGAACACAATTAAAGAACTGTTTGACACTAAGTATTATAAATATTTAAAAAAAAATGTATCAAGTATTTAACTTAGTGGTATTTATTTATTTTTTCCCCAACAGTAAAGAGAAGAAACCTAAACAGCCGTACACACTAAACACAATAGATTCCTTTCAAGGCCAGGAAAAAGATATAATAATTTTCTCTTGTGTCAGAACAGAGGGGATCGGTTTTCTTGTAGACAGGCAGAGGGTGAATGTAGCGCTAACAAGAGCAAAAAAATGCCTCCTCATCGTCGGAAATTTTTCATGTCTTCGGGTATTTTTTTATTTTATTTTCATTTTTGTGCTGAAAACTAAGACTTTTTTAAAACAATTATAGAAGGACAAAACATGGTTTTCGTTGCTCTGTGATGCTAAAAAACGAGGTGCGTATTATTCTTTACTATCTGCAGAGACTCCAGCTGTCAAAAAGCTTGTAACACATCTTACAAGGCCGCCATCTAAATGTAGAAAGAATTCATCTTAACTTTACTTTTATATTATGTAAAAAAAGAGGAAACGAACTGTGATGTTTTGATACAGTGTTGTAACATATAAACAAGAATTTTTATTAAAAAATGTATTGTTTTTGTTCATTTTTTTAAATTTAGTATAAATTTTGTTATACCAACTGTTTTTGAACAAGTAAAATCCACCCATGAAAAAAAAATCTCCACATCTTTTAGCTATGAAATTCTATACACTTAACAAAAATGTAATAATACTAAATTTATTTAAAATTAAAAATGATAAACAGCCATTGGGAGAAAGCGACAGAGACTGGTAAATTCAATTGCATTGCTCAACATTACAAACAAATTTGTAGAAAAGTTTTATCTTATTTTTTTTATTATTTGTTTATATAAATATATAAAAAAAGAAACTGTTTATAACCATGTTAAATGTTTTTGTAAATAATATTTTTTCCTATACATGCTGTGCTTTGTTGGCCCATAAAACCAATTTTCATAGATGCTTCCATTTTGACTTGATTCAGACCAGACGAAAATGAAAATCGATTTTGACATCAAACATCTGGCAAAATCAGCGACTGCCTGCAGCGTTTTTTGAAGGTAATTCAATGAAAATTTCACGCACTTTTAAACAAATTTAATCAATATACGTACCATTTTTTCTACTACCTGTTACTTAGTGTTAATCCGTTACAGCCGATAAGCACATAATGCTTCACCTTATTTTGGCAGGTCCACAAGCCTCGCTTCATGCATCTCTAGTCTCACTTTATCCAACTTTATTTTCGTCATCCAGTTTGACTCTCATTTAATCCACTCTATTCTCTCTTTATCCTGCTCTACTCTTTATTCGGCTAGTTCTACAGAAAAGGTAGTCCAACATTCCAGAGTACTACGTGCCATCTTCAGCTCGTCTGCGTTGTCATTCTGCCTGCCGCTCACGTTTCACTGTTCAACTTTTTTTGTTTTTTTACACACTCCATATTTGTTAATAAGGCTTTATGCTTTATTTATGTTTAATACAAAAAAATAGAACATTTATTACTTTTAATGAGAAGTTTCTCTATTTTGTGAAATTAACAGTGAAAAACGCATTTTTTTTTACTTCTCTTAGGAAGAATTGGTTTCGCAATTTTGAGGCCCCTCTTTGCCAACATTTTTTGGTCCTCCGGGCAGGATTTATCCCATTCCGAGGCGTATTTTCATTGTTTTATTTTAAGTCTATATCTTGTATTACTTATTACTGTTTTAGTTGACCTTTATTAATATTTTCTTTTAATTCTTGTAAGGCTCTTTCATTCTGCTCACCAAGAATGATAACTTCACTACTTCGCCGATTTGTAAACAATGGCTGATGATCAAACACAATCCCCGATCGATCCCAACGTTTCTCAAAAAAAAAAAAAAAATGTTTTACGTATTAAGTTCTCGCGTGAAATAAGGGCGATTTACGAGATTTGCTTGCTCTCACCGATACTACTAAAATATTCGTGTTTAAAGGAAAGTTTCTAGCAATCAAGCCAACCTATAAAAATATGAGAGACCATTGGAATTATTTGATAGCTCTGAAAGTCGCTCATGATCAAGAATTCTTTAAAAAGACCGACAAAACATCACTGCAGTCAGCCAATAATTATTATTACAAATGTCATTCAATTGCAAACTTAATTCCACTTCGAGGCCCTATGAGGTTGTTTTATCACAAACTTCATCACGTAACATGACTCTCTTCTCGAGCTCGTCTTCCCAAAATAAATATTCCACGTTCGGAGGTCAAAGTATTATTTGACCAATTTTTAGGGACACCTTTCGATCCTTGGTTCAAGAAGACGAAGGCCTCACTTTAATTGAAAAATTTCATTTTCTCACCTCCACGGCTCAACTGTGGCTCTGGCTGTCATTCCTACATCTCTAGTTCTCAACGAGAAGATGACTATACTCGAGCCTGGGAAGCTCTCATGAAGCAGTATGACAACAAACCAAAACTTGCATCTTCCTATTTACGTCAGTTAACCAATTTTAAGCCCTTACAGGTTATACCAAGCAGAGTAGACTTTATAGTTTTCTCGCGAAAGGTTTGGAAAACATATCTGCGTTCTCAAATTTGAACATCCCTAATAAGGCGGACTTTATTTTATTTGATATCGCCATTAGGTTTAGATCCCACAAGGAGAGAGACCTTTGAAATCCAGAGTCATAATGATTACCCCAGTTTTAATCAACTGATAGAATTTATTCTTCACCAAGAACAAGCAAAGTCTCTCTCGTCTAATTAGGATGAGAGCGAACCTAAACATCGACCTTCGAATATATCCCCAAACACCTTTCAACCAAAAGTAGGAAGAAACTGGTCATCACGCTACAACGAACCAATTAAAATATCTTTTCCCCACGTCCAGTTATGACACTGCCAATCCTTCCAACGGAAACAGTTCTCTTCGTTGTTTTAATGAGCACAAAGGCACAAATTGACAGAATGCCCAAAGTTCCGTCCGTCAACATCTTCAGAACGTCTTAGTTTGTTCCATAACTGGGTGCAATTGTGTCTATGCAGGGCATTTTACTCCCAAATGCATGTCCTAAATTTCATGCAAACACTATAATGGTAGCCATCATAGGAACCACCATTCACACAAAACGCCCGCTACTAATTCCACCCCCTTCAACAAATGTTAGTACTAAACTGAAGTCCAACAGGCCGCATCACTTACTTGCTCATCTTCAGATTCTAATGTTCTTGTTATACTGGGTACTGCACTCGTTCATGCGAAAGACAGAGATCCTCTGAGATTATTGGTGGATCCTGGCGATTAAAATTCCTTCTTCACCAGTAATGTTAAAAAATTAGGATTGCCCATGTATCGATGTGGATCACTGGAATAAAGGAAATCGTTCTGCCTAACAAATCTCACCAAGCCTTTTGAATGCTCAGACCACAAACAAATAACCTACGTTAGAAACAAAGTCAATAGTGGTTCCTTCCAAAACAGAACCACTACCTCAGATTCTACAGCCTCACCCTATATGGGAGAAATATGCTCATTTAAATCTTGCAGAACCCCAATTCTGGAAGCCATGAAATATTGACTTTCTGCTCTGTGCGAACTCTGATATTCCTCAGAAGTGGACCACCTCACATGTCTACGATATTTCGTGAATTATTTGTAGGACGCTGGAGCTTAAGTTTCATTAATTCCCAAGTTTCCATAATGGCTAGAAATGAGCCATCTTTGGATGAACTTCTTCAACGTTTCTGGCAGATCAAGGAAGTCTATCATCCTGTTCCAAATCTAACGCCTATAGAAGCAAAAGCAAAACACTTTGTTGAAACTCACTACAGATTTCCCTCAGGTCGTTATGTAATCTACTTTGAAAGACGAACCGGCGATCTTAAGCTTTTTGAAAAATCAAGCACTATATCACGTTTACAATCTCGAAATCAAATTGAGAAGACATCCAGAACTCCATCAGGCCTATCAAGAGTTTTTAGGAGAATATCTCCACCTAGGACATGGAAAGAACAGAAGAACCGGCCTTCATTCTTATACCTCATCATGCTATAGTAAAATACGGTGATAACAATTCTATTTTCAAAATCCGCGTAGTATTTTTCTTGCTGAAGTTTATTTATTTTGTGGGGTTGAATTCACTTAAATTTATAAGGCTTTTTTAGTTTAAGGTTCCTTCTACTTCTTTAATTTTATATCTTTTCATCTCATAAAGACGATATCGATATTCCTCCTTTTGTATAATTATTATTTTTATATATGATAGATGCTTAGTATAACAGCGAAAAACACTCCTCGTCTTTACAAAGAACCTACCCTCCATTCCGAGTCCTTTTTATTCTGGTCCTCCAGCCTCACGTAGGAGGAAGTATTTGGTTTCGTAGTTTTGCCTACAGCGCCCTAACCTAACAGAGTTCCGGTTACTTTACGGGATGCGTTGAAACGGTAGCATAAGATAGGTAATGTGGCTATGATTTGTCGGGTGGATGTGCGGGTAATTTGTGATAAATGTTTGAATTTGCTCATCATCAATGGTTAAAGGTCAACCAGAACGTCTTTCAAATCAAAATTTATGCTTCTGAACCAAACATGAGTACCGGTTACTTTACGGGATGCGTTGAAACGCTAGCATAAGATAGGTAATGTGGCTATGATTTGTCGTAAGTATAAGTGGGTTATTTGTGATAAATGTTTGAATTCGGCCATCATCAATGGTTAAAGGGCAACCAGAACGTGTTTCAAATCAAAATTTATGCTTCTGAACCATACATGAGTACCGGTTACTTTACGGTATGCGTTGAAACGCTAGCATAAGATAGGTAATGTGGCTATGATTTGTCGTAAGTATAAGTGGGTTATTTGTGATAAATGTTTGAATTTGGCCATCATCAATGGTGAAAGGGCAACCAGAACGTCTTTCAAGTCAAAATTTATGCTTCTGAACCAATCACTATCGCTATGTACTAAAGCACCATCGCAGTACTCATCACAAATTTTAAATAGTAATCCGCGCTGTAGTTTTACGCAGAAAGAACACCGGCCACCGGAAGCTCAATTTATACACGTTTTGGTACGGGCCCCAACATGGGACCAGGAAGAAATACAAAAAATAAAGCTGTGTCCTCAGGAATTCTTCCGGTTCCTGGTATCCATAATAAATTATGCTAGGCAAATTAAAATGATCAAAGAGTATTATTTAAACAATTTACTAAAATAACAGAAAATGGTGATGTAGATGGAGAAATGCCAATATGCATCTGACGGACCAACGCAGCAAGGATAGACAGACCAAAATGATCGGTAATTGAAAATGTTTAACTGAGATTTGCTTGATTCTGATTTTTTTCTATTATGAATAATCAAGTATATGAATAAGCAAAAAGTTCAAGATGATTTTCTTTCATGAGGTTGGCGTAGTGCAAGGATCATTATCGATAAATAATTTTTGGTATCAGTCTCCCCTTTTTGGGCAGCGTTCTTTGTATTTTGTTCTTTTATCTATATTTACGGTAAGCTGAATTTGTCAACTTTGAGTTAATTTTCTCTCTAATCAGTCTCGGTTGTTTACATTGATGAGTAAATAATTTGACTGGGTTCTCACGTACCGCTGTATGTAAATGGTACTAAAAATCAGTTTA